CCGACTTCAGACTGAACTCAGACCAACTCACTGAGCGATATTCAATCACCCCCCACCACGAGGGCATCATGTGGCACAAGGCTGGTTTAACGTGGGATCTCCGAGCCCGTGGGCTCGGCCAAAAATATGCCCTTTTAACCCGTATGAACGGGTTCAGGGTCGGTTTACCTCCCCGAACGAGAATCCGCCCTTCGGCGTAGACTCGTTCGGGTTCCTCCCCGCCCGAAGGCAGAGAGTTCAACCGGTCAGCCGGTCGTCCGACTTCTGACTGAACTCACTGAGCTCCCTGGCAACTGCTACTACTACTACTTATAATAGGTGGGAGAGTCTATTAACAATAGAATAGGTGTGTTCCCGTATAACAATATTATAATACATTTTTCTCATATTCTCTAACACTCAGATCCCCTGCGTCTTAGAGGCTTTATTGCCTTGCTTAGGGTGAAATAATTAAAAAACAAATGCATATAATGAACCCAGCTGAAACTGAAACACGACTCTCCGATTGACAATTCCGAGGGAATTGAAGACGTTTCCCTCAAAGCGATATCGGATACCTATTCCGTCGTTGGGTTCCATATGTAACCGAGAGAGACGAGACACAGCATTTAGATAGATGTTAAAGAACACGGGAGCAAGAACACAGCCCTGGTTAACTCCTGTATGCACACTGAAACATTATCCATTATACCAACCTTACATCCAACCTTATTGTATTGTCAAGCGGTGACCCATCTAGGTATTAGACATGCTTGACGTTGCTTAACTTTAATTATCGTACAGGAGCCGGCGTTTCAACATGATACGACTGTAAGCCTGAAAATCATCTAGGTGGCTTAAAAAGCATAAAGGCAGAGAGTTGAGCTTTGGCTCAATTGTGTGAGTTCATTGTATTCCTTACGCAAGTATTTCGGTTGATCGATTCTTCAGCCTTCTTTGGAAATTCGGTAAGTGTGTCGTCGTGACACATTTTTCCACGTAGAATCGTACTGTTATCGTGCAACAACTTCCCCGGTCGTCCAAAACTTCCAACACCACGACTGGTCGCTGAAGTGACCGCTTCAATCCCGAGCTAACCCTATCCCACGTTGGGATTTAAGGTTGATCATAAGGCAGTTAAGATCGAATCATCGCAGGTATCTTCGTGTCGGGCTGATCCAAGCAAGTCGAAGAATTACAGGAAAATAAAAGAATATTCGAATAGACTGAACAAAAGTAAATACTGTTTTTATATCGGTCCTCCGTACAATAATTGGTTTATATCAGAGTTCGCATGTAATTAATTATCAGCCCAACCCGCGTCTAAATCGAAATTGTTGACCTGGCAAAATTTGGTTTGCTGCTTTGGTAAAGTTTGGCACAAGGCTGAAGTCGGAGGCTTTCGTCGGCAGATAATCACGTGGGCCTATTTCCTGACTCTGCTCTCGTCTCCGTCTCTTCTACCGAATTCGCTTCACGCATTCGCATTTATTGGCATTCGCTAAAAACTGGCGAAGTAAAAGAATTCGATTCTTCTGGAGAATTGTCTTCTTCCACTCTTTCGTCGCAGAATGTGACACATGGTTGAGCTTAATGTGATTTCAGGAAACCGTACAAAAACTGCTCAAGCTCCCAAGACACTACACCTTTTGGCAATGACCCCATGTAATTATCCCAGCCCCCTCCCGAAGAAGAGATACTGCCTATTGGGATGGCCCTATGGGATATACAAGCTGGTCTTGAAATTTACTAGGCTATGTTAAATGATTAACTTAAGAAAAAGAAATAATGTTGCCTGATCTTCTTATTCATGTACCGTGTCCCCTCAGAACGTAGGCAATCATGGCTCTCCACAACTTCCTGTTCATTGTAGCTCTTAATAAATTTTATGTTTTTGTATAACCTTACAACGCCCTACCCGGTCGTCCAAGACTTACAACACCGCGGCTGATCGATGAAGATCGCTTCGATCTTAGACTTGCCTTATCTCACGTTGTGATTTAAGTTTAATCATAAATAGACCAAGACCGAATCATTAATATACTAATAGTTTATTTTATTAATATTGAAAATTAATATTATTATTTATTATTAATATATTAAATTAATTTATATATATAATCCTTCCTTTTAAAATCAAAACATCCTGTAGAGTAAAAAGAGTAAAAGTGTCACTAACTTGCACCACTGGTTGCCGCTTTCTGCTACTTTTAGAGTGGTTTTATTATTATTATTATTATTATTATTATTATTATTATTATTATTATTATTATTTTCTTTGATTTCTGGCGTTTACACATTTCTTTCCGGGTCCCGCCCAGGGACCTAAGGTTAGAAATGACATCATGACGCTTTCCACTGACAAAAAAAAGAAGTATTACATAGATAAAGCTCTTCGTAATGTACTTGTCAGAATAATTTTTTGTATCTCCTTGAGGCATCGACTTCCAGGAATCCCTTCAATTAGTCTACTGCAATCTTTTCCAACCAGTCCTAGGGCTCCAACTACAACAGGGATTGTTGATGTTCCCATATGCCACATTTTCGAGATTTCTATTTCAAGGTCCTTGTATTTTGACAGCTTTTTTGAATATCTTCAAAGATACATTGCAGTCAGCAGGGACTGCCATATCAACAAGGAGGCACCGTTTTTTTTTTGTGGTCTTTAATAACAATATCTGGGATGTTGGCTTTGATTGTTCTGTCAGTGTGTATTGTGTAGTCCCATAGAATTGAAACAGGTCCTATCTCCGTAACTGGGTCTGGGTGGTGTTCATACCAGTTTCTTTCAGTTTTCTTCCCGTAGAAGTTACAGATTTTCCAGTGCAGATATTGGCCCACTCTGTCATGTCGGGTTTTATATTCAGTGCGTGCAACCTGATACAAGATGATCAATCGTTTCTGGATTATTATGACGTAGATTAATATAGAAATTCCAAGTTTCAGTTTTGAAGTGAAATTGCTCTATGGAACACTAAAATATTACCGTGGATCCCCAAGTTGCAGTTTTTTTTGTGAGAACCCCCAGCCCCATTAATGATAAATGAACTCCTGGGTCCATATGGATCCCCGTTGCGAAACACTGATCTATGTCATTAGCCAATAAGAAAGTTTCGTTATTTTTCTAAGTATTATAAGACTTATCCAAATCATTCTTAGAACATATTTAAGAATCTAGATAACGTTTCCACTTGAACGATCTTATACCAATCATCTGATTCTCTTCTGAAAAGATTAATATAATTTTGTCGTTCTGTTTTTGTTCCAGGCTTTTTCATTATGCCTTGAGGTTTGTTTTCCTCTTACTGGCGGGGAAGGAGGAGAAAAACGAAGGATTAAAGACATTCCAACGATAAAAACGGTAAGAAAAATACAAGAACTTCTCATTTCTTTTCTATGTTCTTTGTTCCCTACTCCACGAGGATTTACCATTGTCTTGTTCAGATAAAATATTTTTTAAACTGCTTGTCAGATAATTAATTCTCAAACTACGAGTTATTTGCTTAATCCTTTCCGTCAATTGTTGCCAGTCAACACACAAAAGAAAAGTAACGCCGAAATACAAGTTAATCAGTAGAATATGAATCAAGTTGATCAATATGATTAAAAGCAATTGTCGTTTATTTAAATATCTCTATCTATAAAAGGCAGGATGTGTGTGTGTGTGTGTGTGTGTGTGTGTGTGTGTGTGTCTGTGTAACGAATGCACAGCTGCAGTTTTCGACGGATTTGCACCAACATTTACATGCAGATGCTCCAAGTTAGCGAAAAGGCCAAGACCAACTTTGCATTTCCCAACTCCCATCAATAGTGGAAATAATCGATTTTTTCATGCTTCTACGGCAGTTTTCATTTAGTTTGCGGCCATTTTGTACTGGCCAGAGCGAGAGCCTATAGCTGGCTGCCACGAATAGGCAGGAAGATTCTATTGGCCAGCGTGAGAGCCAACAGTTGACTGACACGAATGTTAACTAGCATGCTAGCATGCAAAAAAATCGATAGCTGCATTCGTCACAAGTGGGAAAAATTTAAATCTGCATGGCACTTTACTCCACTTGGCTCATTTGCCTGCTTAAACTCAATGTTGATTCTGATTCCGCAGAACTGGGTTGGGTGTGAAAAAGTATTTGTTGTTAACATTCTTTTTTCATTCGGTTTTTCCAGTTACGAGTCCTTTTTTAAAGCTGATCGTTTTGTGTTCATTTTGTTTAGTTCTTTCTTCGTAACAGATTTAATGCTTAGTATAGAGCTTAGAAAGAAATTGCAGTGTGAGATAGGCAAGAAGTAAGGCATGTAGCAACATCAGCACGGCAAAGGGCACTCCTTTAAAGGCAAAGAAGGGCAAAAATATTTTAAGTCAAGTGATAGCGATTGCTGTATGAGTCGTACGATTTTTGCACGGCAACGCCGGGGCATGCTGCTAATATATATATATATATATATATATATATATATATATATATATATATCACGATCACGATCACGATCACGAGTACGGTAACACCCGAGAGTCGTAGGCTGCTACATGTACTGTAGCCGAAGCATTATTGGCAAGATAACCTGACGGAGCCTTCTTCTAGACTGGTTATCAACCAAGGCTATACAGCCCACTCTGTTCTGCTGTTTACCCATAAATGAGAAAGTATGTAATATACCTCCCATAACGGTATAGAACGGACTCGAGTACAATTAGAACCCGTCTTTTCACTAACTTCTGTACGAGCTTTTGTAGTTTTATTTCCGGGAGTGGTATCATCAGTGTGTCATGCGAAAATATTTCATTAATTTTATTTATCAAAAAACTAAATGAGGAATAGAGAACTGACACTACCAGAATATCCGTATGAAATATTCGTAAGATGTTTAGCAACTGCAAAGAATATTTCGGTTCGGTGCATTCAATAAAGTGCACCGGGAGGAATCAGAAAATCGTAGTTGAAAAAAATCGATTTTAATCAAATTAATTTTCTTTTCGGTAAAAGTAAAATAAAAAGGGGAAAAAATATTTTTCTATTTAATTGTTAAAGGAAAATAAAAAGGAGAAATGACACAAATAAAAAGAAAAAATAATTACAAATCGAAGACAAGCGAAAAAAAAGAAGAAAGAGTATATAAGAAATAAAGAGAAAAGAAAGAAGAAAACAGAAAGAAAGAAAGAAAAAAAGAAAGAAAGAAAAAAAGAAAGAAAGAATAAAGAAAAATCCAATATTAAGAAAAAGAATGTGAACCATGAAAGAAAGAAATAAAGAAATGAATGAAACAAAGAAAGTAGACACTAACAATTCATTGAGAAAGAAAGAAAGAAAGAAAGACAGACAGACAGACAGAAGAAAGAAAGAAAGAAAGAAAGAAAGAAAGAAAGAAAAAAGAAAGACAGAAAGAAAAAAAGAAAGAAAGAAAGACAGAAAGAAAGAAAGAAAGACAAAAAGAAAGACAAAAAGAAAAAAGAAAGAAAAAAGAAAGACAGAAAGAAAAAAGACAGATAGAAAGAAAGAAAGAAAGAAAGAAAGAAAAGAAAGACAGAAAGACAGAAAGAAAAAAAGAAAGAAAGACAGAAAGACAGACAGAAAGAAAAAAAGAAAGAAAGAAAGACAGACAGACAGAAAGACAGACAGAAAGAAAAAAAGAAAGAAAGAAAGACAGACAGACAGACAGAAAGAAAGAAAGAAAGAAAGAAAGAAAAAAGAAAAGAAAGACAAAAGACAGAAAGAAAAAAAGAAAGAAAAGAAAGAAAGAAAGAAAGAAAGAAAAGAAAAAAGAAAGAAAGAAAGAAAGAAAGAAAAAAAAAGAAAGAAAGAAAAACGAAAGAAAGAAAGAAAGAAAGAAAGAAAGAAAGAAAGAAAGAAAGAAAGATAGAAAAAAGAAAGAAAGAAAAACGAAAGAAAGAAAGAAAGAAAGAAAGAAAGAAAACAAGAACACGTAAAATCTCACAAAGGAGGCAGGGGAAAATAAAGAAGACAAAGAAGGAAAGAAACATATAATGACATAGACAAATAAAGAGAAAGAAAGAAAAAACAAACAAAAATTATGTATAAAATAAAGAAAGTAAACACTAACAAAACATCGAGAAAGGAAGGAAGGAAGGAAGGAAGGAAGGAAGGAAGGAAGGAAGGAAGGAAGGAAGGAAAAATATATGAAATAAAGAAAATATGAAACGGCAAACAACGCAGAATGAGAGAAGGATAAAAAAAGACAAAGAAAGAAAAATATAAAGACATAAATAAGCAAATAGAAAAAAAGAAAGAAAGAAAGAAAGAAAGACAGAAAGAAAGAAAGAAAGAAAGAAAGAAAGAAAGAAAGACCTGAAACTCCTAACTTTCAAGAAATATATTAAACAAAGAAAAAAGAAAACGCCAGTCTTCGTAAACAAAAAATAAACAAAAAGCAACATCGGTTAAGAAATGTTATTCCTTTACATTGTGATCGAATTTTCTTCCTTCCATTTCTTCTGAAATAAAGAATAAACTATTCGGCCAGAATGCAAATGGATAACAAATCCACTCTTTTCAATATGTTGCTCTATGTTGCAACAACGTAATGTCTATAAACAAAATATAAAAGAATGTAATTTCCCAAAATGGAAAAATAATATTTATAAACTCTGAACGAATGAAATATTGTTAAAAAGATGGAGAAAACGAATAAAATAATCACGCGCACAGAGACACACAAATATTCATTCAACAATATGATGGCGCAGAAAATATGCAAACTTATAGAGAGATATATCATACGTAATTTATCAGAAGCCATTAATAAAAAAGGATGTAGGTTCATATAGAGATGATGGTTTAATAATTGTCCGAAAATGTAATGGTAGAAAAAACAAAAAATCTAAGGAAACAAATATCAATCATCTCGAAACAAACCCATGATTCTCTCAAAATACTTCCGCTCATAAAAAGATATACACAATAAGCTAACACCAAACAGTTTAATGTCAAGCAACTGAAAAAGAAATCTGTTGTCAACAGGATATTTACCGAAGACATTTTTATTCAACAAGCCAAACCATGGACATATCAACACCTCTAATCTATTAAGATAAAAAGCGATGAGGGCCATTACTTATGTAATTATCATTATTATTATTAATGTTGTTTTTGTATGCGGGTGCGCGTGTACACACACACGCATACACGAAGTAGACACACTGTGTGTAGAAATTGAGATATAACTGAACATATCTGAAAAGACAATATTGATTTAAAAAATAGCGAGAGGAAAACTTGTTTTTGCAATATTGTTTCGTTCCCTGAGGAACTTCCTCAAAGGCAAAAGCAAGACATCTTCTTGAGAAAAATCAGGATTTATACATATATATTTATGTATAAATAATTTATCTCCATGTATAATTGTATGTCGACATTAAATAACCCACTGAGGTGGATATGACGTAAAACAAAACAAAACGAGCCATGTATAATTACAGAATAATAATAACGAATAAAATGATCTCATAAATTTCTATTCTCAACATAACAGCAAAATAAAATCAGGAACAATCATCGGATTAGATAGCATGTTACAATGTAACATGGAAGAAATCTCACGGTATTTAAATAATAGATTATATGAACCCAAAAGAGATCTGTTACAAAACAACACATTAAAATGCATTAGTTGCTGATCTTAATGAGTATAAGCATAACTAGATTTAAAAATAATACTTTAATTAAGAGCGAAAGCAATTTACCTAGAGGAAAGTGTATAGAAATTGCTTTAATCGCGAGATCATACATAACAAATTCCGTACGATTTTTCACCGATATAATTTCCTGCATGACATTTATTGCAAAAAATTAAATATATTAGATTTGAACAGTCACAGGTCAAGATAAGAGGTAGGATTATTTTATGTGTTCCAGGTCGGGTAAAAAAAATTATTGATGATAATATGTTTACAAACTTGTCATCGTGGTTTATTAGATGTTACATAGCCTTAGTGAGTGGGTGATTAGAGTTCTCTAGATGGTGTAAGAAGGGATTATAGATTTGTGGGATTTCACTAGATATCTTAATAATCTGAGATATATATATATATATATATATATATATATATATATATATATATATATGTATGTATGTATATATATATAACCAAATGGATAAATATAGGTAAATGTACGAGCAAGCGTTCATATACATACATACATGTACATACATATAATAAATATATATATATATATATATATATATATATATATATATATATATATATATATATATATATATATATAGTGCAATAAAAAATAGTGTTCAATGTTTAATAACAGAGTTATTTAATATATTAAGAAATATACATAATACCTTACATTGATTGCACAACTTGGAGTTTTATACCTTCTGCATTTGTAATGTGAAAAGAGAGAGAGAGAGAGATTCAATAGGTCGATTAATAAAATTTGAGGAATAAGAAGCCAAAAAATGATAACAATATTGGCAATAAGATTCATAATATTTATTATATATTAGCCGCCTGATTAAATTGAAACACGGAGAGAAAGGTTTAAACGTCGGAATTTTCGGACACACCTGTGTTCTTTTTCAATGAGATTCACTCTTCCGAGTAATGTTGTTGGTTAGATGTCTCCCTATGGAAATGATACTCTCTAAGAAACCCAAATCCCTGTTTAATCCCTCAATGATTGATTTTATTTTGATAATATATTGCAACTCTACGTCTTTCTTGTCAGCTGTTTATTGAACCCGCCTGAAAACATGCATCTGATGTCATTAATGTGTGTGGTTGTGTGTACGTGTGTGTTTTTGTGTGTAGCTGTGTGTGTGTGTGTGTGTGCGTTTCTGTCGGATTTGTGTATAAATATAACTTAATGGCGATAAATAAATGCTTATATGCTTGTTTCTGTTTGAGACAATTTATACCGGGTATTTATTCGCTTCTAATATGGATAAACAGTTATCATATACTATAATCATTCAACTATACATATATATATATATATATATATATGTGTGTGTGTGTGTATGTGTGTGTGTGCTATCACATAATGTAATCATCGAACTATATATATATATATATATATATATATATATATATATGTGTGTGTGTGTGTGCTATCATATAATGTAATCATTCAACTATATATATATATATATATATGTGTGTGTGTGTGTGTGTGTGTGTGTGTGTGTGTGTGTGTGTGTGTGTGTGTGTGTGTGTGTGTGTGTGTGTGTGTGTGTGAAGATATTTTACGTTCTGTCTTACATTTGCCTAATGCAACGCCGACAGTTATTTTTTTCCATTTTTATGCTGCTCCTTTAAGACATTCCTTCAAATCTACGAGGATCTATTTTGAGTCACCGGCGCCATCTTTCCAATTTGATATATATATAATTTTTTTTTTTTTTTTTGCACTTTTCCCCGCCAAATTTCTAACTATGTCGTCTGATTCTTCTTTTCCATTTCTTGATTTATATCTTTTTCCTTTTTCTTTAACTATGTCATTGTTTTTCACGCTATTCTTATTTTTATTCGACTCGAGTTTCCGTTCGACTTTGCTATAAAATGCCGAGAAAAGATAACTCGGCGGGGTGTTAATGTTATGTATTACGAAACGACGAAATTAAACTTTTCTACAAAGCGATGCGTTACGCTTTTAATGCCACAGCTTCAACGGTAATGGACGTTTTCTTTATGAGCTTCTTGATTTTAGTTTTTTCCTGTCTCAGGTCTTCAGTAATTTTATTGTTTTGTATCGCTTCGTTCATATTAACATGTCTTGTAGTGTTATGATTAACGTTTTCTTCATAATGTTCCCCACCGACATTTTCCCGCTCTTTTCGTTATTTTCTTCTTATTTTTCCTACCTCGTTTCTTTACAGCCGCCTTAATGATCTGTGATGCCAGTTTACAAATATCTAAGTGTAATAACGGCGAAACAGATAGATATAAACAGACTGTGTATATACGTACATACGTGTATGAAAAATATATATTCACACCTCGGAGTTCTTGACAAGATCCAGAGACGGATATATAATCTAATTGGCCCTGATCTGGCGTCTCGTCTGCAGTCACTCTCTCACAGACGCGCCGTCGCCTCTCTCTGTCTTTTCTACAAATACTTTCATGGTAATTGCTCCGATGAGCTGTTTTCACTGGTCCCCAGACTCCATGAATTCAAGCGCTCTACGAGGCTGGCATCCAGCTCTCACCCTTACACTGTAGAAACTTTTAAATGTAGCCGTCTCTTCTACTCCAATAGCTTCATACCTCGCACATCTCGCCAGTGGAACACCCTCCCCAATTACTGTTTCCTTGAGAGCTATAATCTCCAACTATTCAAATGTAATGTCATTCGACATCTCCAGTTACCTTGATCTACCCACTATCCTTCTCCTCATCCTTTCTTCTATAATTCCTATCTGCTTTCGCCCCAAATCTTCTGCAACCCCCTGCATCCTAGTGGCTTCACGCCTTGCTTGGGATGCTTAAAAAAAATATATATATATAAATTTTCAAATATATATATATATATATATATATATTGTATATTTATATATATTTTCATTTATACACGTTTCATTAAATAATATATAGACAAGTGTTGTCTATTTATTTTTATGTAAAATTTTTGTATCTTCTGATAAGTTTGATAACATTATCATTAACCGAAAAAAAAATTACAATTTTATCCATTATTTTTAATAAAATCTAAGCTTTCGAATTACTTTTTCCATTATCAAAGATGTAAATTGTTTGAAATGTTTGTAAGATACATCTTTGATAATGGCTTGGAATAAATAGACAACACTTGTTATATTATTTAATGAAACGTGTATAAATATATATATATATATATGTGTGTGTGTGTGTGTGTATACACAGAAACAAACACACATATTATTCATTTAGGGCTTGTGCCACATTTTGTATATATTTACAAATAAATATCGATCTACGCTATGATAACTAGAGTTTATTAATTTAAGCGCAGTACTAGATTAGCAACAACGTCTCACCAATTTACAGTTGATTTGGTTAAATGAAACAGGAAGTTCAATGGTAACAGTTTTTTTTTTTCTAGTACTTGTAATCTCTCCCGGCTCCATGCTTTTTAGCAAGCGTTGATCTTCACAACTTTAAATGCAATGTCAATGGATATCTACTCTCTCCTTGGCCACTCTTCTGTTGTTCTCGTTCCTTAGTAACGTTTTTCCTTTCTTATTCTTTCACAATCAGTAACCCTTTGTGTTTTAGTGGCTTTACTGCGTTACATGGGGTGAATTTGATTACAAAATAAAAAAAAATATCTTTTAGGTACTGGAAATAAATGGGTCATGACCCGCATTTATCAACTACAAAAATAAAAAATTATGTAGGAAATTCACAAATCATAAAACTTGTCTAGCATTTTTTTTCGATTACCTCTTTATTCTCTCCACTTCATTTCTTAGGAAACTGCATTGTGTGGTTTGTATAATTTATGTAACCATTTGTTTATGTCTGGCTGCCGTTAGTTGCCAATCTACGAGTCATGACCCATTTATAAAAATAATTTTTAATTTTTTCTTCTTCGCTTAGTTTAAATTTAAATTAGGTCATATTTGATTGGTTGATCAGAGTAAAGCATACAATCTTTTAACCCCCCCCTTTTTACGAAAGAAGGGGTTGTATTTTGCTTTTAAATCTTAACAAATCGTTCAGTCGCCAGTAATTTACATTCGCCTGATGAGATGCATTGATATGCTTTGAAGCATGATTGCAAATGTATAGCGATTTTTACAAGTTTTCGGTGTAATATCCTAATATATATATATATATATATATATATATATATATATATATATATATATATATATATATTATGATATTACACCGAAAATAAGTTAAATTTAAACTAAGCGAAGAAGAAAAAATTAGAAATTATTTTTATAAATGGGTCATGACCCGTAAATTGGCAGGTAATGGCAGCCAAACATAAACAAATGGTTACATAATTTATACAAACCAGACAATGCATATATATATATATATATATATATATATATATATATATATATATATATATCGATATGCAATATATGATTTATATATATATATATATATTACGATAAACGTGCAATCAATTTACAAATTCATGAATTATTCACACAAAAACAAATGCAAAGGTTAATGATTTAATTGGCGAGAAATCCATCGTCGCAAACAATTCAAATAATATACAAAAACCTCCGAATCCGTTATGAATGAAAAGATCCTTGTTTTTATAAATTTCTGCCGTATTAAAAAACAAGAACAACATCTATTCCATACCTGAAGATGTCTGTAGGAACAGACGAAAGCTTGTAGTAAAAATAAGAACTAATACGGCGAAATTTATAGAAACAAGGATCTTTTCATTCATAAATGACTGATTCTCTACCTAAGAATGCAACGATGGTTTCGGAAATAGCAAAGTTTAACCAGTACTCTAAACTAGATCTAAAAAGTGCATATTATCAAGTAAAGCAGGCCGCACTTACACAGCTGGGAAATTTTATAATTTCAAAAAGATGCCGTTTGGGATAAAAATGTGGTGGCTGGGTTTCAAAGAATTCTGGATGAAATAATCGGAAAGGTAGACCCAAAGGAAACATTCGCGTATCTAGATGATCATTTATGGTATTAACGAAAGAGAACATGCTACTAAATTGTCAAAATTCAAAGAACTGATTGAAAAGTATGGTCTCACCTTAAATGAGACTAATGTGTCTACAGAGTAACGAAAATAAAACTTATGGGTTATGGAGTAAGTCAAGGTACCATTGGACTAAACCCTGAAAGGACGAGACCTCTGAAGAGAATTCCGTCCTCGAGGAAATATAAAAGCTCAGAAGAGAATCATTGGAATGTTCGCTTACTATAGTCGTTGGATCCCAAACTATTCGCTAAAAATTCCCGCGCTAAATAACAACTCTATATTCCCTTACCTGAAATAAAAGATTCTTTGAATATTTGAATATTTGAAAATTGGATTAGAAAGAACTGTAGTACATACTATAGACGAGGAAAAACTCTTTGAAATTGAAACTGATGCTAGCGACGTGAGCTAGCTACGACACTAAATCAAGGAGCTAGCCCTGTTGCATTCTGGTCCAGAATTCTAAACCCCCTCGGACCGAAACCACTCCCCATTAGAGAAAGAAGCTAACGCGATCATCAAAGCAATCCGGGAATGGAGTCAATTCTCGAAAGGTAAATATTTTATTCTTGTCATGAACCAAAACCTCTATCCTATATTTTCGATAAGCATATTGCTTCCAAGACTATAACCGACGAATTGAACTTTCCACTTACAAATATGGTAGCAGATATCGACCCGGGCATCAAAAACGCATGCCCAGATACGTTAAATAGAGTATACTGCGCTTCTGTTGTAAATATCGACCTTAAAGAATTACATAATAATCTATGTCATCCTGCAGTATCAAGAATGATACTCTTTATCAGGTCGAGAAATTTGCCCTACTTAACAGAGGAAGTAAAGAGATTGACTGAAAAATGCAATGTGTGTGCCGTAGAAAAGCCAAGATTTGTTAGACGAGGAGGCAAATTATTCAAAGTCAGTCAAAATCGTTTCAATATTTTAAAAATAATTGTCTCCGATTATATTAGCACCATTATCAATTTTGGATAGACATTTAGACGTTACTCCACTATTCCGTGTTCTTTTCCCTATCGTATTTTGCTGTTCATAAGACGCATTTTTTGCCTATAAAATATGTTCAAAAACCACCCTGCGTCCTATAAATCAAAGGTCGGCGACAGGATTTCACTTCTCTTCTTGTTATTACATTCTAAACAGTTACCATAAATGTAGTAGTAGTTCTCTGTGATGAATTTGTCAAGTTTTCACGTTGAAATATGCTACTCATTGAGTAAAAATGGGAAGAGTGTGGAGAACTATGTGGAGAGCTATAAATTACAAGTAAAATATTTCCAATTTCTTCCTTCAAAATTTTGGTAGCGTCTAATGTATTGGCGCGCCGTATAAGCAGAGAAATATGGTAATTCGTATTTGTTGAATAAAGTATCCAACCTCAATCATAGTCATTAAGGTACATCTAATGTAGCTTTATATTCATCATTAGAATTTCTGTCGACAAAAACAATTTTTCTTCGTCCAACATAAAAATGTTCTCTTTGTGATGTTTACATAGAAGTGGTTTTGATTGATTTTGTAGTGAGTCCCGATAAAAATAAAATAAGAAAATAAAATATATAAATAAAGATAAAAGGAATTCAAATTAAATTAAGGCATTTGCGCTTTCCTTTAAAAACACTTACCTCTTTCTTCCTTTCTTTTTTTCTTTCTTTATTTCTTTCTCTCTAAACCTCTTTCTATACATCTCTCTGAACTAACGAAAAAGCAACCCTCAGATAAAATGTAGAAGAAAAGACTGAACCCAACCGAAAAACACCGGAAGTTTTCGGGACCAGAGCCTCCTAATCTGTGTCTGAAAACTAACATAATAGTACAGGCTCCACGCATAACTTCCCTTATATATATATATATATATATATATATATATATATATATATATATATATATATATATTAAAGACATTTTTATGTTTAACATTCTTTTTATAGATACAAGTATTTTAGTAAATGCTCTGTTTATAATAAACAGTATTAAATAACATTTACCGGCCTGAATGTCCGAGAAATTTTCAATGTCTTTAATAAATTGTCGGACTTTGTCCATTTCTTAATATATATATATATATATATAAAAAGGAAAGCCAATCTAGACATACTAGCACAAAGAGACATTCGATCTTAGCCGGAAACAAGGTTGGCGCCAGAGTCTTGGACCCTGGTCAAAGAATATAGGTTCATACCTCTAAGCTAGACGATAAGAAGGAGTGGCCAGAGTGACGAGAAGAGCCATGATCGACGGAAAAACCAGCCATGCGTGACGCGTGAAGTAGTTAAGAGGTCATCTGCTAATCACATCTACCCTGTTTAGGGCCGAAAAAAAACAGTAGATTTACACTCACTTTCTAATATTACTACTACCACTATCACGGCCTGACTTCAAAAATTACCACTACCGAACCGAAACGGACATTTTTCCAGACTGCGACCAATATTCGCCTTATAAACGAACATTTTGCAACACCGAATACGAAAGAACTCAGTCTAAGGCAAATAAATAAAAAATCTATTATCCCCTTCATGTCCCCATGTTTCCGATAAAATGCAACACCAAAAACATCCTGGCAACTATCTACATATTCATGTTTTTAGCAATGATCTAAATATTCTACTTCTTTTCTCTGTTTATATTCACAATGAAAGTTTCTTGAGATGTTTCTTTTTCTTCTGAATCCATTTTAATTAATTTTTCACCGGTCACGCTTTTGTGACATTCTTAAATTTCAATTTTTTCTTTATTTTACCAATATTTTCAATTCGTTTATATTTTGTTATTGTTCTTTGATGTTTGTTAAACTTTTTTTTTTTGGGGGGGGGGGCAATTTTCAAATCAATTTTCGCAATAATCAATGATTTTACAATATCTCATTTCTCTTTCATTGTCATAGTCTTCTTTCGAATCCAAGGGTTACGGGCGTGTCACATTGAAACGCCTGTTTTCGAACGATCATCGATACATAAATGGGTATCGGCTTGGGAATATCAGATGTTGTAAGCTTCGCTGTGTCGGGTTCTAATTCCAATGGGACTGGTCATATTCGCCTACATTTAAATACCTTTGAGAAAGTTACTAATCCACCTCTTCTCCGTCCAGCTATGGGTTAATCAGTAGGATTTGTATCAGTAAAATCATTATTATCTCTAAAAAAATATTCTTAGAATCTAAAAATATTTTCTGGCTTTAAATAACTTTCAAAGGGTTGATAATCAATCGATTCTTACAAACCATGTGAATGTTTGTATCTGAAATTAACTAAGAAATACCAATATCTGTGTAATTGTATATTTATGAATTTAAAATTTGATGATCATTCCAAAATTTGAATTACAAAATATCACTTTACAAAGAGAGTTAATACGTGACTACTCTGTTTAAAAATATGCAGTC